AACTACCTGCCCATCACCACAAAAGATCAGACGAGTCTGACTTTATTTTTAATCATTATCTTGTGAGATGGGAAGTTTCTCTAGATGTATTAATTCCCATAAATGAAGAGTTTGGCTCATGATAGCAGATTCTTGCTTTGGTCCTCCAAGCATAGGCCGTGTTGAGGCTGGAAGGAACAAGGATCAGAAACAACCTTCTGTTTATCTCAGGGTAGCTTCAACTATCATAACCAAGGAATGCTGTCTTGCCTCTTGGGTCAATCACCTAGGACATCATTCAAACCACACCTCAATCTTCAGTTTGGTGATAGTCTGTAAAAACTAGTTTGAGATTCCAATTTCTATTAAAAAGTATTAATGTAAATGGTAAATTATAGATTTATAAAATGCAAGCAGTAAGATTTTTGTAGTGGGTTTAGTCTACCAAAGTCTACAAATGCTCGGAATTTTTAAAAGGTATCACATCCAAAAAATATTCAAAAACTCCCTCTAAATTACAGAAATACTGTTTTAAAAATACAAGTGGTCTATTTACATGTATTTGATTTTTACATCAAGGCCAGCTGAAAGATCCATTAAAGTTGTCATACCTTTCATTTGTAGCTAATTCGTAAATACCTCTCTCCCTGTATCTTTAAAAAGAGTAGTATTTTGCTAATAGTAACAGTTCTACTGCCTACTCCTCTGAGCTCAGAAATTAAAATGATAGAGACATTTGGTCCATTTCCTTGCCCTAAACAGAAAATTTTCCATAAATGGTCATTTATCTTCTCTTAGCATTCTCTAAATGATCCATCTATTCTGCTGATGAAAAGTTCTGGAAATACTCAGGGTTCTGTCATCAGAACACAGTCCAAGGTTTACCTGTTACCTGAATGCAGCCCCCCCATGCAGGTACATAACAGAATTGTTCCTAAACAATAAAAATAGATTCTAATACCAGAGGCAGGATAACACAGAAGAAAGTTCCTAATTTTTGAAACAGACAAATGGGTTCAAACACTGACTCCGCCCTACCACTTAATTATCTATGTAACATTGAACAGGTTACCTGATTCCTGAGTCTTGAAGTTTAGACTTACTGTGTTTAGAGTTGTTGTGATACTTAAATAGGCTCATGAATAGAAAGCATCTAACAAGAACTGCACATGCAGGTGTTCAGTGTTTCCTCTGCCCCACTGTAGGTGTTGGTGCAACCTGGTAAGATTTTTAAAAATAAGATTCTGTCAAAATGAATATTCCAAGTGTGTGGATAGATGTATAGATCTAAACTTGAGGTTAATTTGGAAACTGAGGCAATTTTAGTAAAAGCTAGAACAGCTACCCCAATCCACATTTTACGGATAAGGATATAAAAATCAAAGAAACAAAATTTCAACTACATCCAAAGTTAGCCCCTTTTATCTTCTGTGACTAATGGCGAGGCAGAAAATGGCAAGTGAAAAATATATCAATGCACCCTCACCAAGGTCACATTAGGAGTCCATTCATCTAGAAAAGAGAGGGAGAGTGGTCCAGAGGGCAAACATTCTCATCTCAGCTGCCATACCAAATTACGGCTACATATGTCTTTATACATCTTTGAACAACAGTGTATTTACATGACGGTTAACATTAGACTTTTCTGAGATTTCCTGCATATTCTTAAACACGCAAACCCAGTCACACGGTGTCTCTGATGATCGCTGAATGTCGAGACCCAACCGCAGAGAAAAACTGTCAATTCAAATGCAGAAAAACAGTCACATTAAATCAACATAAAATTTCAGTGTGATATAGGAAATGGTTTATGAAACATGCTGCTTTTGAACTCATTGCTAAGAGAATAGCACTGGAAATGGGCATAGAGAAACACGATTATTGTAAATTATTACAGCTTCAGTCCTAAAAAATAATTTTTCCAGGTAATTAACATAAGGTAGAATTTTAGATATGTAAGTAATTCTCCATTGGTGAATATTTATTCTAAAGTGTTTAGATTATACATTATTTGTTTAACTGTTGAAGAAATTACAGCATAAGAGTTGCCTTTTTTTTTTTTTTTTTGAGGTGGAGTCTCACTCTTGTCACCCAGGCTAGAGTGCAGTGGCGTGATCTCAGCTCACTGCAACCTCCACCTCCTGGGTTCAAGCTATTCTCCTGCCTCAGCCTTCTGAGTACATAGGATTCCAGGCACCTGCCACCACACCCAGCTAATTTCTGCACTTTTTATTAGAGACGGGGTTTCGCCATGTTGGTCAGGCTGGTCTTGAACTCCTGACCTCAGGTAATCCACCCACCTTGGCCTCCCAAAGTGCTGGGATTACAGGCGTGAGCCACCGTGCCTGGCCAAGAGGTACATTTTAAAAATTAACTGTTTTCCTCAAAGACGGGCATTGATTACATCCCTGTAATAATCTAAAAAATACATTTGTATTTACCTGACATTAATAAAGAAACAGCAACAGGGATTGATCCCTATTCTTCCTTTAATATAAGTAGTAGCTAGTGCTCCATTTAATGACAGAAAGGGTTATCCTCTAGGCAAGACTATGGGAGAGTGAAGAAAGTGTTTCCCAGATGCTTACCTGAGACAGTCAGACAAACAGCCCCTCAGTGACTCAGGGAAAGAGGTTTTGGAGAGATCTTACCGCGATGGAACGTGAGGCACCTGCACCTTCTCTAAAGACCACTGCTGAGCTTTGAAGACACAGGAAGTCCCCCCAGGCCCTGGGAGACCAGCACCGCTGCTCAACACGCCTCCTTTTCCTTCCCAGCATTACCAGCAAAGGTTGAACTCCAACTCAGAAAATTCCTCTTGGTGAGGCAGTGATCTGATTCCAAACCACCAACGTTTAGTTATGACCAGGGGGCTTAATTCTTCAAGGAAGTGCATGATAAAAGTCACCCCAAAGAAACCTCCAATTGGTGACAGAAAAACGTGTGTGCTCACACTCATGTATGTGCGTGTGTGCCTACGGTACACAAGTGACTAGGGGCTCTTACCCTCTTTTCCACTTTTCCCACCTCTCCACACAGAAGTAAGATTAGCCACATATGCCTGCTCTTATTTTATCTGAAATAATTCTGTAATTTCAGAAATATTTTTAAAATGTCTGGTCCTGGCTCTACCCACTTCTAAGCCAACCTTTACTGGCATCTTTGGATCTTCCATTTCAGAAGAGAAAGCCAGAGGACAGAGAATAACCTACTCTCAAAATAGGTGAAACAAGGCCTCATTGGAGAATTGAAGGCCTGTTGAGTAATAGCTTATAAATCCCCCCGATCAAAAAGTCAGCCATGTATAATGTTAAAATTATAACTCCAGCCTTAAGGCATTGTATTCTGTGCTTGAAACAGAAGTGATTTTAACCAATCTTCTGAACTTCAGAAGGACAGACTGGTTAGTAACTCAATGGTTTGCTTAAATTTCAGATAAGAAAAGGTATTGGACTACATCCCATTTCTACCCCCCTCAACATCTGAGCCAAAAGTCCTACGTTATGGTACCAATAGGAAATTCCAGGAATTGTTTAAAGGATTTTTAAATTACTAGAGCCCAGAGGCCTCTGGACCTTTTTTGATAAGTTTAACCAAGAATTTGTACAGTGATCTTCACTAGAAGTGGCAAAAATGAAACAAAAAACAAAACAAAACAAAACCAGGGTCAAGAGGATCTTTGAAACCAGTTTTGTTTTTTGTTTTTTTTTGCCTGTAATGGAATTTTATCTGAAAACACGGAACTTAAAATATTGCAAATATTGCTAAGTGTATGTGAGACACCAGTTCAGAGAATAGTTATGGTAGTTTATAGTTTAAAGGAACAGTTGCTGTAATATGCTTGCTACTTCGATGGTTTATAACTATTTTAATGTACAAAGTGTAATGTAATGGTCAAAGTATGATACATTTTTAACAGGCGTTAGCAGAAGCATAGTTATTATAGAGGCTTTTTAAATTAATCAAATCAGATAGCATAAACTAGCTCTTAGATAAAATACATGGTAACCCTGATACCTATCCCAAGAAGGAAAAGAGGCACACGACAAGTGCAATAGTTGAAATATACTGAAGTAGTTTGGTATACCAGTTTAAATATTTTGATGAGCCAACTTCAAACTGGCTAAAATAATTTAGGTGTTGACTCATTTAACTAGGAAGTCTAGAGGAGGAGAGATCTAAGACTTGGAGGGTGTGGTGGGTCATGTTTTAATTCCCAGCTCCCATAACGCCATCCAATGTCAACTTCATCCTAAAGCTAGCTCTAGTCAAGACTGCCTGATACAAGATCAGAAAACCAAACGCCGCATGTTCTCACTCTTAAGTGGAAGTTGAACAATGAGAACACATGGACACAGAGGGGAACATCACACACCCGGGCCTGTCGGGGGGGAAGGGGGCTGGGGGAGGGATAACATTAGTGACGGGTTGATGGGTGCAGCAAATCACCCAGGACGTGTGTATACCTATGTAACAAAACTGCACATTCTGCACATGTAACCCAGAACTTAAAGTATATGAAAAATAAATAAATACATAAATAAATAAAGATTGCATGATAGTTGTCAGTAGCAAAAGAATCCAAATGCTTTCTCTTCCATATCGGGGAGAGTGTATGTTTCTGTCCCGGCATTCCACCTTGGAACGCTGAGCATGGCCCTGACTGGAGCGGCTTACATCCTGTGTCCCTTGTTCATGTTGTGGCCAGGGAGATGGTTTGTGCAGATCGGCTTTTCCAATTATGATGCGTTTCCAGTGCTGGGGATGAAATCATTTCCTGAGAAGGACAAGGATCATATGAAGGATAGACACTAGTAGTAAAATTGGGGAACGAGGAAGACTGAATGTTGGATGTTCACTATACGGACAACTGGTCTGAAAGACACTAGCAAGCCCATGGCTGCATTTATTGAAAACTGCTGTTAGTATAATACTAATAAGAAAATATACTAATATATAAATATACTAATATAATACTAATAAGAAAATAATTCCCAGATTACAAATGAACAACAACAAAATTTCAAGGCCAGTATGTTTCCTTTTTTATTATTATTTTTGTGTTTGACTTAGATGGTTGAATGTTTTCATTTTCATTTATAAGCATTACATTAATTTCCATGCAAAAACCCAAGATCGCATATGTCTGATTTCAATTGGCCGAAATCCAACCCATGAGTTTGGACATTCAAGACCAAAATGAACACGTTGCTTGACCTTTCCATGAGTAGACATCATGGGTGTCCTTTGAAAGATCAGCAGGCCTCCTGACCTCTTAAACACCAGTTTGCCATGAGTCTATACGAAAACAGGGAGCCAATGCCTTACAGCACCGAAATCAGGCAAGTAACTTCATTCATGAAGACAGGACACCTCTAGACCAAGGATTGCACCCACAGATATTTCCTGGTTCCTGCTCTATAGCGATACCTGCTTTTGAACAAACGTGGTACCTTCTATTTGGGGATTGTAAGTTCTTCCCGCCAGTTTTCCTCAAAACCCTCAGGAAGAGTCAGAGACTTTACAAAAGAAGCTTACCTCGACGACCCCAAAAGGAATAAATACAAAGACACCTACTTTATCGAGCATGTATTTTCCCCAGCTTTAGATGGAGTCAACATGTATAAAGCTTTAAAAACTTCTCTCAGTAAGACAGGAATCAGGAATATCAAAGAGGGTAAAACAGGACCCCACTATTGAAGGAGAACGAAGCAAATGCAAAGAAGCATTCCACTGATCGAGAGAAATGGGCAAAATGAAAAAATGATAGAATTTCAAGAGTGGTTGTTAATTTATATTGAAACACACTTTGCAGTTCTGACAATGGCAAAGATTAGTGCAAATAATAATTATAATGGTATGTTCTTTAACAGGATTTAAATAAGGCTTCAAATAATTACATATGCTAAAACTAACATTTGGAAACGGTAATTCTGTTTGGAAAACTCAAACACACCCTTCCAACCACCCAGTGTTCTCTGATTTGAGGACAATTACATTCAGTGAAGTTGCTCCAAAACACAATTTGTAGTATTATCACTTTCAAAGTTTACATTGTTTGGTGGAAAACGGGGAAGCTACTCTGGTCACTGGTCAAAATAAACAAATCCAGCTAACACGCCAGGTAGTTCCCAGGTTCATATGATTCTCAAATATCAGTAGTGGTGAAAGCTCGCAAGAAAAAAAGACAAAAGCAAAATAATAAAAATAATACAATAGAATCGTTAAGCGTCAGAAAGAGATTTGTTTCCTCATACCCATGAACAAATCTGCACCAAGCATGAAACAGAAAAAAGCAGGAGGACTCATGGGCATTTTCATCTATGGCTCAAGATCTCCTTAAAAAGAAAAAAAACTCCAACAAACTAAAGAGCAAGACAATAACTACAAAAAGTAAACAATGAAATCAGAAGCAGAATATGAAATAGTAATATACTGTTTCAGAGCCTGCACCATCCTGCAGAACCAGGAAACTTAAAATTTGTTCTTAACAAATCCAATCTAGGCTGGATATGTAAAAAACAGAAAGATAGCATCATAAACCAACACGACACATTATCAGAGTTTAAGAACCGGGGAAAAAAAAAAAAAGTCAGCTAACACTCAGAAAAATTTGTCATCAATTCTGAAATGGGGCCTTGTGACGTCGTCAGGATTGATAAAGACAGAGATTGACTTTCCCGGGTTCTCAGTCACTAGCTGCTGCAGTTTTTTTGCCAAACGGTCATCAGGCTGGTTGGGGTCCCCTCCGTCGGACTGTGGGGAGGGGATGCTGGTGGTGCTACCTCGCCTCTGGAGCTCCAGTGTCAGCCGGTTGGCTGCCTTGACATGCTCAATGGCAGTGCGCAAGTGCTCTGCCGGGTCTGAGCGCACAGAGGACAGCTTCCGGGCGTGAAGCATGACTGTCTCCTCAGACAGGTGTTCCAGCATGTTGCACTGAGGGATGAAATAATTGGGGCACATCTTGTTGACCAGACAGTGCTGCAGGTCATCGATGAGGCCCAGCAAAAAGTGGGCTGCATAGTCTTCTTGCGCCAAGTAGTTGGCAGGAAGTCTGTCGCAGGCCCAGAGCATCATGCTCCGCAGGTGATAGGGGCTAATAGCCTTGGGCCGGGACAGCAGTTTAATGATGATGGCTTTGCAGGCCTGATAGGCCTGCATGAGGCTGCTGGAGATGCACTTCTTCAACTGCACCTCGCTCCTGGCAAAGGACAGCCGCCATTCATTGTCCTTCTTACCCTTGTAGGAGCAAGCAGGCACCAAGTAAAACCCACTGATGACCTCTTCCTCCGTAATCTTCCCATCCCAAAAGTGGTTCTCCATGAGCCAGCTCTGGGCCACCGCAGGCCAACCTTTGAAAGATACCACAGGGACAATATCGTACAACATGCGGCTACTCCCTACACCCAGAATGATGGAGATGATGGTCCCATTTTTTTCTACCTTTTCCACCTTTGGCATCCCTCGCTGGGGTTTCTTCTGTATTTCTGATAGGACAATGCTGATAGAATCATAGAACCAGTCAGCCACTTTGGTAGGTGAGAAGAAGTAGTTGGTGGCACCATTGATGTGATCTACAATGGTGCAGCAGTCTTTCCATTTACTGATTGTCCCCTCATCAAAGAGCCGAAGGCTCAGCCAAGAGTGGCACAAGGCTGAGTGGCGCATGTCGAGTGTCACAGGCTGATTACGGTCATGCAGCTTGAGGGCTGGCACCAAGAGGGTAAAGTCCATATCATAGTCAGTCCCCCGGGCATAGACATTAAGCTCGTCTAAGTCCAGGTCCACCACGCCTTCCCGGACACCTCCAGAGAGCAACAGGTACTCATTAGCCACTGGAAGCTTTTGGTCCAGCTTTTGCACCATTCCTAGAAATAAAAAAGAAAAAAAAACAACATTATTATAGGAAGCACAGACATAAGAGTCTTATGCATGAATACAGAATGTTCTGAGGTTCCAAGAACCAAAATTCATTATCAGTACAAAACCAGATCTCAGGCTGCTGCACAGATCTGGTCAACAGTACTCTTACACTGGTGCTAGAATCGACCCTTTTCCAAATGGAAGAATTATGATAGATTTGTCTCTCTTAGTGAAAAGCAGTATCATTTTCAATAATAAACCAGGGCCCTTCTTCCCCCAGTCATCATCTCAGTTAACGGAACTGCCATCCACTCAGTCGTGCAGACTGAAAACCTCAGTACATTTCAACTCTTTGCTGCCCTTCTACTGCCAAATCTTTTCCATGAAACCTCTGCCAGGGTTCTCACCTCCTTCCCTGTTCTCCATCTCTCCTGCCATCATAGGAGGTTCGGCCTTTTTTATCTCTTGCCAAAGCAGTTTTCCTTCCCCAGGCTCTTCGCACTTCACTGTTCGTTGTACCAGCGGTTCTCAGTGTGGGCTGGAGACATTTTCAGGGGTAATGAGTTCAGAACTCTCTTTATAATAATACTAACACATTGTTCGACTTTTTTTTTTAAGAGACAGGATCTTGCTATGTTGCCCAGGCTGGTCTCAAATTCCTAGTCTCAAGCAATTCTCCTACCTCGTCTTCCCCAAGTGCTGGGATTACAGGCATGAGCCACCATGCCCAGTCTTGTTTGACTTTTTTACTGTGTTGCCATTGTACTAATGGCACAAAAACAATGGAGGATAAAACTCCCAGTGCTTTAGCAGCAGCCAAGACACTGATGGCAAACTGTACTAGCAGTCAGTAGATTCTTTGCCACTGACATGCATTAGCAATGTTTTTAAAAACCCAGTTTTACTTAAGAAAATCCTTGATGAAGAAAAATAAGTTATTTTATTGAATCTCAACCTTTGAGCCATTAGAAAGATTATCTTCCTAATAGTCTGTGTGATGAAATGGCAGCAACCATAAAATCTCTCTTCCTTATACTGAAATAGGAAATCTGTCTTCAGGAAAAGCACTCACGTAACTGAGTTGTGAGCTGAACTAGCTTCTTTGTTCATGGAACACCATTTTTACTTTAAAGAACAATGGAAAACTATGGGCTATTTAGATTTGGGTATTTGGCAGACATTTGCTTCAAAAATGAACAAAATGAGCCTGGCTTCAAGGAAACTACTGACAACATTTATTGCCAATGATAAAACTGAAACTTCTAAGAGAAAATTAAATTTAGAAAACTCCGCACCATGAGCGTGACGTCTTCCCGAATTGTATACGTTTCTGATTAAATTGGCGGTGATCTTAACGAATGTGATTTTTGATGAGATTGTGAGTCCTTTTGAGAACCATGTCTCATGTATTAAGCAGGCATAGAAGACTCCGCGCATGCAGTAGGAACATAATTGAAGCTATGACTAAATGATGAGGGAACAAATGCATGAAATTAATAGGTGGATAGCATTAATAGATGGAATTAACATAAATACTTAAAGGCTAGACTTAAATGACTGTTCCATAAACAACATACACGTTTTCCCTCTTTCATTATATATTTGCTTATGCTTTGATTATCTGACAAACTACCAGCATCATCCTGTGATTTATTTAACAGCATTTCCCCAAAGATCATAAAGACCTACCACAAATGATTATAATATTCCATTATTCATTGTAATTCATAGTTTGCTCTTCATAGGACAATCCCAAATCAAATAAACCGTATGCACGTGTTTTGTTACTATTATCGTTATACTCTGAATGTTTGTGCCCCCCACTCACATGTTGAAATCCCAACTTTCAATGTGATAGTATTAGGAGCTGGGGCCTCTGGTAGGTGATTAGGCATGAGAGTGGAGCCCTCCTGAGTGGGACTGGTACCCTTATAAAAGAAACCTCAGAGCGCTTCCTCACCCCTTCTGCCACGTGAGGACACAGCGAGAAGACAGCCCTCTATGAACCAGGAAGCCGTGCCTCACCGGACAATGAATCTGCAGGCACCTTGATCTTGGCTTTCTTGACCTCCGGAATGGCGAGAAAGAAATCCCTTTTGTTGATAAGCTACTCAGTCTAGGTCCTTTGATATAACAGCCTGAATGAACTAAGACAATTATACTTTAAAATTTAACGCTCATTTATTAAATTGTGCTCTTTTTCACTCTTTAAAATCCTATTTTCCAAACCACATGAACCATGAAAAAGTCTTTTATTTAGTACCATTTCCTTACACACAGAAATATGGCACGTTATCATTTTCTTTTTAAAACCGTAAGTTAGCCAACATTATAGTGTCAACAATTCACCAGAAAGAACATCCAGCAAACCTGACTTCTTGGCTGTTTCTCACACTATCTGCACTGTGATATGGCATCCAGGTCCCTCTTCAATAAAGGACTTATCCCAGTTGCTTAAATGCTATCCCTTAAGGATTGTCTCAGCTGCAGAAGGCCGTCTTCACCAGGTCAGGTCCTGTGGCTGGGATGGGGGTTGCAGGTGCACATCCAGTAACTGACTGGTGTGGGAGTGTCCCAGCTCAGGATACTCTGAAGGGCCATTCAAACTGAGTTCCCAGTGGGGTTGGCTGTGGCGAATGATGTGCCTGAAGGGAAGCTCAGCCTCTCCTACTTGAACCTGCTTCCTTCCCCACTTCGACAGGTGTAGATCCCAAGGGTGCTGCTTCATAAACATCCTCACTCCATTTCAGAGGCTGCTTCCTGAGAAACCCAGCATACTAAATACTATCCAAGCAAAACAGAAGATACTACCTACCACCCAAGCAAAAACCATCTTCAGCATGGAAAATATGTTTTCTTTTTAAGCCAAACTTAATCCGGATTGAAAGTTCTTATAAATGCCAAGACAAAGATCTGTTTCTCAAATGTCATTATCTTTTAATATTAACCTCATCTTTGCCAGGTAAAGAAATACTACCACCCCACCTTTTGGTTATTGCTTTAAAGGATAAAATTGATTTCTCAGATTCAGATTAGGTTGTGGAAATCATTTTCATTATTTTATGAACTCACATGTCGGAACAGTCAGTTTCAGTGAGATATATTTGATAATGAAACAGTGTACTCCTCATTATTTCAAACATTCTTTCATTCTAGCATTCAGAATACCATAAATATACGTGAGAAACACTGTGAAATGCTGTGTTGTGGTTAGTAAATAAGATCTGCATCTATTAAAGCTATATTGTTATTTGAGTACCACACTGTTGCCTCCTCTTAGGCACAACTAACTGAAAATCCTATGTATCCTTTTGTCCTGGACAGAAGAAAACTGGCTTTGAGCCCACCAGCTAAGACTTGTCTATCTAATCAGGGTAACTTGTGCATTAACAACCTAGAGATAATCTGTCTACAAAAGTGCCACTGAATTGTGCCTCGGGTTGTCACAATTCTGTTTGGAGAGTCTTGGGTAAGCCATAGCTAAACTCCCTTCTGCCCTCTGCTGGATATAAGAAGTTTTAATGTGTTTTCACTTGTCAATATATACACTAGAAAATTCCTGCCACTGATAAAATATTCTCTTTCCTCCCAACTGAGGCTTATGCATCTCGTTAAAATGTTGATCCTTTATTCAAAGGAGTCAACATCAAGTATTTGGCTAAATTCTAATTTTCAGGAGGTAGGGTAATTCTGAACACTTCTTATTCCTTGTAAAGTAAAGAAAGCCCTTTAGCAGCAGAAGGAATACTGCAGACACACATTTACTAAGCCCCTAGAAGTTAGAAACAAAGTCCCTAAGGCCACACTGTTCCAGAAGCTAATCCCTTCTTACATCCACATTTCCATTTAGCCTCCCTGAGCCCATTAGTCTGCAATTTTACAAATGATACAGTAACACAACTCGAGCCTTCCCCAGCGTTATACAAGCCCAAATGTCTTCCTTGAAAACTTTCCTGGGCTAAGTTTAAGTGAAAATGAGCTGACATCAGCTATCATGGCAGATGGGTTGCCATGCAACCAAAACACAGGGCTGGAAGGGAAAAAGACAGAGGAGGGAAGCATTTCAACTGTACGCTTTGGCTGTACGGATCAGTTCCAACAAGTGCCATCTCTGCAATGATCCAAGGTTTTTTGTGTAATTATGGGAGGATAAGATCGAGTGACCCTGGCTGTTTAGCTGTGAGATTATCCAAAGGTAGGCGTGGGAACAAAAGGAAGATGCACATACACCACTGAGCTTGTTAGCAGCAAAATGAAAAAAGAAGGATAGAGGATAGCTAGTCCCTTGGGTGGGTCTCTTCTTTTCATGGAGGCACTGGCATATGCTTGCTCTTAAGTAAAACTGCCACTCAACCTCCTTTCCTGTGATTCTCCATTTCTTGGTTTTGATATATTTCAGAGTTTTTACTTCAGAATATCTTAATAGTACCCTTTCATAGAGATACTCAGGTCCTAAGTTTAAGGAATGTATTTCATGTCATGCTTTCAGTTATCTGCTGATTATCTTTAGAATATCAGTGAAAAATGGAACTCTGTCCCTGACTTCATTATGTTCTAGTGAATAAAACTGTATCATATTCCATTAAATTGAAATTGCAAACCTTCATCATGCAAACATATAATGCCAGACTGCTAATACTACAGCACAAAAACTAAGTATCATTTCTTGTTGTCTTTACAACCCCACTCCAGTAAGTCTGTGAAAGCTCAAATAGAGAGTTCAAGAAATACTAAGTAGATAAGTCAAAATAGTACTTGTATAGATTTATTTAAAACACACACACACACACATATTTGAAGGGAGAAAGATTTATAAAAAGTAAAATTTTTATGTCTTATAATTAAAGTTACAGAATTAGATAAATTTTATTTTTATATACTTTTGAAAATATATATCTATATATGCCTGAATAGGTCAGTAATATTAATTGTTTCATATAAAAGAGCTTCCTTTTTTGGCTCCAACTCATGTAGCACACACCAGTAACAAACAGTGTCTTATTCCGGCAGTGGGTTTTAATGGGAGGAAAGGTATAGGGTGGGATGATGTTGACAAAGTCCTTCTTTGATTCTGATGCATCCCCTAGGATAAGTCTCCTTGGTTGACAATAAACAATATGAAACCTTCCCATAAAAATAGTATGGTTTATGTTTCCAGGGCGGAAGTATTTTCGTCAAACTTACTTGACATTCTGAGAAACATCTGAGAAGTGGGCATGGCCACCTTTTTCTAAGAAAGTCACTCATCTATGAAATACTTAATGACCCCAGATGGAAAAGGTTTTAGGCCTTTCCTCGTTCATGCCCAGAAATCATCTCTCTGAAGGAAAAACTGGTTCCAAGAGGAGAAATCACTCATTCGGGGTCATACGGCCTTAGTGACAGACTACCAGTATTGTTGCATTCCAACATTTGTGCGAAGATCAGAATGGCACATACGTACTGATCTCCCCACGACAACGCACAGTGGCTTCAGGGGGAAGCAGCAGACGTCTCAGGGCAACGTGCCGGCTTTGCATTTTTATTGGTCAAATCTTTAGCGGGACCTGGGACAACTGGCAGAGCATGTCTGACCATCCACACTTATCATAAGGAGGAGGGGGCCTGGCTTCCCTTGAGAGAGCCATTAGTATTCCCAAATAGACTGTAAGACCCTGGAAATACAGAAGACAAAAATGGAGCTTTCCAGTTTTTCAATAATATTCTGAATTATTAGTACTCACAATTATAGTACGTTTTATATGTCAAAGAGTCTGCTTTATTTTGCATAATTTGAGACAACTGCATATAATCTTACTTTTTAGAAAACTGATTAATTCACATATGGTAATGGCAATGCCCTACTGACTAAACTACATATATATATACACACACATATAGTAAGAGGGCTGATTTAAAAGATGTCTCTCAAAGGAGTCTTCCTTTGTATTTCCCCATTTTGGTACTGATATGTATGCAAGAACACTGGACTCAAGACAGGCTTGGGCTTGGATCCTGGGCTTGTCATTTACTATTTAAGTGAGGCTGACAAATTAACCTCTCTAAGCAATTCTTTATCTATTAAAAAAACAAACAAATTGATGAAAAGTAAGTAAATGCATATAAAAACCTACCCTTACAGGATTGTGATGAAATGTCTAAGCACATCGTAGATATTTAGCTCATTTTCCCCATATGTTCTTCCCTTTTCCTACCACACATAAAACTGGAAGAGCAAATAACACAGATTCCACAGAGTTATTTCAAAGGTTTAATTAAACAAGATAATCTATTTAAAGCCTCTAGCACATGCAAGGCACACAAAACATGTCAGAGGAAGGGAAATGAATGAAGTATTCTCTCCCCGGCTGTACCAGGACTGCTGCTAGCCAAGGCTGCTTTCTCTGAGTGGATGCCATCATGTGGCACGACACACAGGGTGTGTCATTGTGAGCTGTGTTCATGGTGTATCTTTCCTCCTAAACAAGATAACAATACACAATCATCCCTTGGTCCCAGGAACGCCTACATATGCCGAAACGTGTGCATACTCAAGTCCCATGGCTGACCTTGTGGAATCCGCTTACACAACACGTTGGTCCTGTAAGTGGGTTTCATATCCTTTTCAAATAGTATATTTTCAATCCGCATTTGATTGAAAAATAGCCACCTATAAGTGGACCTGTGCAGCTCAAACCTGTGTTGTTCAAGGGTCAACTGTGAGGCATCTGGCACAGTAACTCACAAAAAGGCATCGCAAATGAAAGATCCTATCTTAGGCGACATCTATAACCTCCTTGTGGTCAAGATTTTTTTGCTGCATTGCTAGTGTAGACTTTAGATTAGAAGGCACCTGCTTTTTGTGTGTACCATTTCTTTCAATCAACTTGAATACCTCATTGACCATAAACTAGGATTATGGAATTTGCTGCACAATATAATATGAAATCCTGTCAGCATATGTGTATAAAAGTGTTTACTAATAATCTAAAGGACAGGAAGAAAAAAATGCCTCTCTAATCTTCCATTATTTTCCTTCTTAAAAATGTAAACTGAAGGTCTTAAAAATTGGTGGGCTTTGTCAAAGTCTTACAAGCTATTTTAAACAGAATGAACATGAGTTAGACCTGGATTCAAGTCCAGTTCATTCATGCCAACATCAACCACTGTGGACCTTGGTTTCCTTAAACAAAATTGTAGAATAACAACTGGTACAAGTTTGTTGGGTGGTCATGGGAATAAAATGAGAAAATGCACAACAAATTACTTAGTGTGTGGTTATGTGCTTAGTTGGTAATCAGTAAACAGGGTTTGTTGGCACATGCATACACATACCAATATATTATCAATATATTTTTTTCCCATCAACTAAGTCCTGACCTTTCTTTCTTTTCAGTACTTAGGATAGTTTAAGAACTCATGGTTTTTGCCATTCAGAACTTACCAGCAAGACTCAAAAGAGAGTCGTATCAGCCCTACCTAGCAGCTTCCCAAAGTCACAATAGGGTAAAAAGTTACAGATTGACATTTTATAAGAAGGGTGTTCACTTGAGAAGGCTCATTCTTGAAAGGCCAAAAAGAAAAAAAGTGAAAAGCAAGAGTAATGCCAATATGGTGTCAAACAGCTACGTAAGGATACAGAAATGTATCAGGGATGACCACGTTCATGCTCCCCTGCTCTTCACAAGAACCCACAAGCTTGTGATGGAGATGCTCGGAACGAAGTCAACTGTACCCCATCACTGACCCTTTGCCCAGGACCCAGCTGGGTCCGGTTTCCATTCCTTTCTCACTTAGAGATGTATACGTAAACATCTCAAATTATTCCGTATACATAAACATCTTAATTAC